GCATTCACTTAATCCCAATCATGAGGGTATTTAGATCATTTGAAAAACTGAGGGTATTTTAGTCATTTCTGTATTACCCCAAAAATTTAGATAATAACCAAAATGAAAATTTTGAAAGTTTGATGGTCAAAGTAGAAAAATGGGAAAAATTTAGGGAATTAAGTGATAAATTTCCCAAAAAGAATTTTATTCCATAGATAGATAGTTTACTCTTGAGAGTGGGGTTTTAGAGAAATCATATTTTTGGTTTTGGAATTTTAGTAAAGAAAAATTAGAAAGGGTTAAAGCCGGTACGAAATAGGTAATTCAGATCGAATTAGAATTTTACAAAAATTGGAAGGATGTTATAAAATGGTTGGAAATATTATTCTAATATTTTAGATCAGAGAAATTTGGTTTACAAATGTGCAATTTTTCAAATGTAACCGAAACAGTGGAATTTAGTGACTAAAACACAATATTTGAAAAATTCAAGGGAAATTTCAGAAATTAAAGTCAAATTAATTCATATTTGACTTTGGAAGATGATAAGGATGAGTTGTCATGGTTTTATGGTGAATAGGAAGATTCATTAAGGGTGATTTGGTCTTATCTCAATTAAATGAATATTTTATTCATTTATAGTGGAATTTATTGTAAACTAATATGAAATGCACCCAACATTTGATCCAAATTACTCATCTTCTTCTCCAAGCTGCGTTGGTTTTCTTCAAAGGTGAGAGAAAGCTTCAATTCAATTTTTAAGCAATTTCCTTAGGATTTTGAGTATGCCGTAAATATGCCGTAAATAGAAAATTGTTATACGTGAATAACGCTATCTTTTGGTACCAATATTGCATGATAATCTTGTTGGTGTTCAAAGATCCCAAATTTTACATTTTGTGTTCATATAAGGGATCATGAAATTGATGATGGATCTTGATGTTTGTGAGGTAGTTGATTCATATTCAAACATGTATGGTGATTAGAACATGTTTAATCTTTATAGAACTTGTTCTTTAAGTTTTGGCCATGGATTGTTTGAGTGAGAAAAATTATGGAAAAATTATATATGAGTTGAAAATGATGAAAGAAATATTATGCAAGTCTTAGAAAAATTTGGGGACCATTTTGTAATTTTTGAAAAGTTGGGGATCAATTTGACAACTTTGGAAATTGATGGGTTGTTGTGTAAGTGTTATATAATTGATGTACTATGCGGGAAATTGTTGTTTGGAAATTAAATTGAGTGTTAGAATGTGAAATTTGATTATTTTGGGAAGTTTGGAAAGTTTGGTGCTTTTAATGTAAATTTCGAATTTTTGGGAGTGTTTATTGTAATTATGTCTTTGTATGGGTATTTGGTTGATAATACCTTCAATACTGGAATTTTTGTATTGAAATTTTAAGTGGTAAAATGGTGAAGGACCATTTTATATAAATTGGAAAAGTTGGTTCCAATGTTAAAAGGAATTATTAAGTATTGAGTATTTTGATAGAAAATGAGTTTCAAGTATATTATGGAGTTATTTCAAGATATGTTTATGTTAGTACAATACTAACATATGTATCATTATGAATTTGTGATTTATACAGATCATCATGATTGATTTGCGATTGAAGCAAGTCAAGTATAAAAATGGTTTATTGTGGACAATAGTGAGGCACATATTTTGAAAGATATAAAGTGTCAAGGTGAGTGCAATACATGCATGAAATTATACATGAATGTTTTATACATCATCAAGAAGACTTGCGATAAGTCGACCTTGTTTATATCAGCATGATATTATGTCATAATTTTATAAATTGACATGACATTGATATGTCATAGTGTGAAATTATAATGCATTGATCATGAATAATATGATAATTTACCATGAATATTATTTTGGGTATGAACTGCCCAATGTTAAATGATATTGATATACTTTGCCATGGATGGATCAAATAAAAATAAACTACATACCCAAGTAGGTTATTGAGGATCAGTGGTATTAATGGCATGCTATAAAGTCTAGCAGCTGCATATTAGGTAGCACTAGAGTGTCTAGAGAAGGCACATAGTGCAGGCCTCAAAGTGTCTAGCAAATACACGGTACTAAACACTACGGTGTACAAGGTGGGTAAAACCCGACTTCAGCACTACGGTGCATTATTAGGTGAGCAAAGCTCGACCTCAGCACTTCAGTGCAATATTTGACTCCTATACTGGGTTCCTCATACAGTTATACTTTGGGCTATGGTTTATTGGTTAACAAATGGTAAACATGAAAATAAGCTTACGAGCTTATGGAATAAATGGTAAGTATATTGGTAAAATAAGCATACGAGCTTATGGAATAAATGGTAAGTATATTGGTAGAATAAACTTACGAGCTTATAAGATAAATGATAAGAAATTGTATATTATTTTTTATCATTGTAAAATATTGGATATATTGGTAACTTGATTTTATGGCATTTTGAAATTGACATTGAAATTCATGCATGAATTGTATTGCACTGTTTATTGTTTTAATTGCCTCACTAAGTATATACTTAGCGTGTGATGATTTTAACGCGTAGGTAAAAAGGCAGTAGTGGAATAAAGAGTTTAAAGTGACATCAAGCATCGATGAGTATATTACAATATCAGTAAGACATCATATGATGGAATTTGACTTATATAGTGGCATGTACTTATTAATGTTTTATTTGTTTTGTTGAACAAATTTAGAAACAAAAATGGAAATTTTATAGTGAAGAAAGGTTAAGTTTTTATGAGTTTTATATATATTTTGCTGAAATTACTATATCGGTGAACAATACCAATGTTAAAATTTTTCAAGAATGCTACAGGGGTACCGATACCATGCTACAGGTACCGATACCCTCACTGTTCACTGTTCATGATACTATTCATAAATTTTTTTTTGAATTAAATTTGTTATAACGAAACATAATTCATATGATATGATATTTTTATAATATCAGTTACCATTTTAAGAAAATAAATTTTAAATCGTTTTTGAATTGGAAAATGGTTTTAAAAATTCAGGTGACATCTATAATCTGTATAGGTATAATTGTACGGGTTATGGGTGTTACAATTTCATTTAATTCTATCATATGTATTTCTTCAGTAAACTAGTCTTCGATTGTTTGTTGAAGAATTGAAAATTGTATGTATTTTTCCATCTCGGAAGTTAAAATCAGTTACCGAGATTTTTCTAAACAAAACAAATATTTAACAGGTGAATCAATAGTTCTATCCGATTAAGTACGACTTTTTAAGGTTATTTCTATTTTTAGGGACAATCACTTTCCTGTTGCATCACAATGGTATTTTCTTCATTTCTCATCCAAACATTTCATACATTAAATCCTTTTATATGAATAATCGAAGTTGAAGGTTTCAAGGTTAACTATTTTATCAATCATTCAATAAGCTTGCGAGTCATATGAGTCTTAATTAGTCTACTAACATTTTACTATAATTAGATTGAGTTTAAAATAATCTCGATTGTAACTCATTTCTAAAAAAAAAAATCATCAATGCATTTACCAAATATCAACATGTAACATAAAACATGATAGGATAGTAAAGTATTACCTCGATTCGGTTAACCATTTAACCTTCATTCGATCGCTCTCGAACTTGAATTCAATGTCCCATAATATTTCAGATACATAGCAAAACAAATTACATCAGAAATGGGACTTAAATATGAAAATCATATCGAATCCAAAGATAAAATGTTGAAAAATAGTTTATTGAGTTCGAATTTGTCAAAACAAAACCTCAAAACTAACATTCACCAAAACATTTGCTAGTATAATCATTATTACCAGATAAATTATTTCTTCATAATATCTTGCATATGCAACATGATATTGATGGTACAATCTTTTTTGCTGATAATCATATATCAATCAAATCACTAAGGTATGAAGCTCAACACTTATCAGTATTCAAACTTAAAAATTGGAATAAGAATGATTCCACAAATTTTCCAGTTCGACTCATCGAAGTAGAAATTAGGGAAAATCAACTTGTTTAAACTTAGGAAAAGTAATTTGGTTTACGAATCCAGTTTGGTAGTATTTCTTAATATTGTAATCGTTCTTTATTAATTCTGGGATTAAATCGGGTTCAACTTGAAATCCTGTTAGAATCCATCATACTTCAACATCTCACACAATCGAACTTTTATTCACAACCAGAAACAAATCCTTCATTTCATAGGCATCAACCAATTTGGGTACTTTAATTGAATTCGAATATGATACGCCAGTCCGAAACTCTTTTAGTGGTTGGCAACCCTTATGATTCTCGTCGATTCACAACAATTATGATATCCTTGGAACTTAAACGACCACAGGTAAAATTCAAGAATACATCATTCAGAACTATTCTTTGATTATGCTCCAGCACCACTTAAATCCTTTAAAGACTGGCTACGATATTTTAAATCACTGCATTGTGTCCAAAACTACAACTTCAAAGTTGTATTTATTACGCTTGAGTACGAACCTATAATCACAGAGCGTATGGGATAACATAACCTAGATTCAAGTGACTTGCACATTACTCGTGAGGCGTTTTTCAAATACGAAACCAATGTTAACGACATTCATTTCCTGTAAAGATTGATTCCTAACGAACAAAAATACTAAGATATACTTATTATAGAATAAGGATCTGACATTAGAGTCTCAGCTTAGAAGAGTATGATTATAATCTAGGGGCATGTACTAACCAGACATCATACGACAAACGATTGGTCGATCTACCTAGAAAGACTCGGCTCAACCTAAACTCTGATACCACTAGATGTAACACCATCAGACTGATTTGGGTGACCGAATCTGATCCAAGGTGTTATATTAGGACCACCTGAGTGACCCACACTGAAGATTCAAAAACAAATTTTTGTAAAACTATTTAAATCATAAATGATTTAAAACTAAAATATAAGTTAAGAAATAATAAAATAGAATTCAATTGTATATAGTATAGAAATAAGTTTCAAACTCTAACATAAAAAACAAATTGTGACCTACTTGCCCTTAATTACACTTGCATCATACTCCACAAGCAACGCCAAAGGAACTCACATAACTGATGTCAACAATCACACGATATATTCATTTGAACCTGAAATGGTAAAGCCAAGCATATATATGGTAAAGCATGAAATTCCTTCGTGCTATAGACATCTATAAGTCTTAGTGAAGAGCTAAACTTTAATTAGGTGGTTCTTCAAGTAACAGTCAAAAGTCTATGGATCGGAAGAATCGAACTAAAACATATTACACAGGTTAAGCTAGGAAGTCTAATGTGTCCTATTAGTGCATAAAAGAAGTACATATAGTTTTAAATAGTAATAATTTATTTTAGTAAAACAAATTTTTAAAAAGAGACGATTAAACTTACTTTAAAACTCATATGGTTACCCTTCATCTGAAGGTTAGAATGTGTAGGTTTCCCATAACCATACACGCACATGTACATCGGTAAGGACTTGTTTGCCTAATTGTCATTTGTTACCCCCACAAATTGTCGTCTCAAGCATCAAATGGTTAAACCCTTTAATCACTAAAAGCAATATCTACTAAACATGAATTTATCCTAGAATCTATGTTACTTTGACTCGAGTATGAGTGTAAAAATTACCTCTTGAAGTAAGAGAAGGATTGCTGGACCTGTAGAAAGAAACCATTAAATCAGATAATCAAAGTAACCGAATAACATTTCCTATTATGAATTCCATTCTGCCAATCACATTGAAAGAAAAAATATCAACAGTATGAATCATAATTGAAAAGGATAGAATTCCAATAATGAAAGTACTAATCTTGATGAGGAACTTGTTGAGAGCAAGAAATTCTACGCTTAACCAAAAAAAATGTCAACAAATAGAAAAAAAATTGGAAAAGAAAATAAATATAAATTTATGAAATGATGAAAATTTCACCTTTAAAGCTCATAGTGCCATTTCTATCAAAATCATACATCCTGCAAATTTAAACAGAAGAAGATTGATCAACAAAAAGGGTAAAAGAAAGAGCTAAAATTGAGATTTTTTTTTGAAATTGAAAAGAAAGAAAAGAACCTGATCATTTATTGAACGATAAAAAGAGGAAAGTTGAGATTACCGATGACGAAAGCGCTTTGATCGTTATTTTACATTCAAAGTGAATTAAGATGTTTAATTATTATTAAAAAACAAGTTTAAAGGGGGAGTTGAAAAAGGAACCTAGAGTTGAGGAGCAGTGATGCTTTCGGTTTTCCCTATGTCAACTCTGTCAAACCACTCTCTTAGAAGCATACTATCATCCATTTCTCAACAGATACAAAGGGCCTCAGATTCCGAACTTCGGAGGGTAAAATTTTTCCCTAAATTTACGTAGATCCTAAATATACGAGGTAGTGAATCATTAGATTAAAGTGGTAAAATGATTACCTTGTTCATCGACGACATAGAAGGAGCAATGCACGATGTGGTGGAGTTTCAGAGAATCATTGACGTCGGTGAAGCTCTGAATTTACAGAGGATTGTTCTGTTCATCGCCTAGTGATATATGAAAAAAAATGAGAAACAATGAAAAATTGCAAGATTTGCGATGTTTGAAAGAAAGAACAGCGAAGATCGGATGTCGTACCTAATGACCAACGACAACAACGCACACTATCATCTTCTCTCCGATTTCACTCCGACGGTTATCTAAAGAGGAATATTGGATATAAATCTATTAAGCTGGTAGCCGGTGAGGAAAATTAGGTATTTGGAAATTAGGGATCGTGCATTACTAGTGTGGATGAGAGATTGGGGATATATGACTAAAGTATGAATCTAGTGGCATTTTTATAAAAAAAATGCCACAAAAGTACATGTCTTTACCAGTGTTTTTCCCAAAACGACAGCATATATTTGTCTATAGTGACTTTTTTTTAATAAAAAACACTACCACAAATACATGAATATGCAACACTTTTCTATAAACGTAGCGAATTGTACAATTTTGTGGCATTGTTTCTACAAACGCCGTTACATGTACAAAATTAATGGCGTTTGTTCAAGAAACACCGTTAAAACGTCACTACAAACTTGTTTTGATGTAGTGGACTAGTTATTTTTGCTTAACTTTTTCAGGTTATGATGTTGCATGACTCGTAGAGGATCTAAGAAACCTCTACTACCTTTGGTACCCGAGATTGAACAGCTTTTCCGTCAAAGAAGACGTGCTCAACGTGATCAAAGAGCCATGTACAGAGTTCAAAATCGAGGAGGTCAGCAAGTTGAGGATCGTGAAGATCCTAATGTTGTAGCAATTCCCAATGAAAGGATTATTGCACGTCCATGTGCCATTAGAGATCACTTAGCGCCCATCTTGGACAATCTCAACCCTGGTATTGTAGCTCCTGAGATTCAAGCAGCCCACTTCGAGCTTAAACCGATGATGTACAACATGTTGAACTCTATTGGACAATTTGATGGTACGCCTCACAAAGATGCAATGTAACACATACGTGCATTCTTGGAAGTTTTTGATTCATTTAGACAACAAGGAGTGCATGAAGATGTGTTGAAGCTCAAGTTATTTCCTTATTCATTGCGTGACCGAGCAAGGGTTTGCCTTAGTGGAGTTTCTTCTGAGTCGATGGAATCTTGGTATGACATGTGTAAAATCTTTTTGTTACGGTATAATAATATCAACATGAGCATTTAATTAAGGAATGACATAGAATCTTTTCATCAAGTTAACTCGGGACCGATATAAGGAATTGCTTTCCAAGTACACTAACCATGGATTCCACGATTGGCCACAAGTGGTGATGTTCTATAATGGTTTTAATACTCCCACAATAATGATTTTAGATGCTTCAGTAAATGGCACTTTTCTAGACAAGTCACACGAAGAAGCCTTTGATATCCTTGATAGGATAGCAAACAATGACTATCAATTTCCTTATTTAAGGCTAGGAAAGGGGAAAATGGTTAAGGTACTTTTGAGTTAGATGCTAAGGATTCTGTTTCAGCTCAATCGTCAGCAATCACAAATATGTTGAAGAGTCTCCAACGTTCTAATAAGGTGAAAGAAGTAAATGTGGCAAGTTTTGTATGTGTATTATTTAATGGCAATCATCATGTGAGTAAATGCCCTGACAACCATGAGTCTACCAATTTGGTGGGAAACTTCAATAGGAATACCAACAACAACCCCTAATAGAACTCCTGCAACCCAAGATGGTGTTAGAATCCAAATTTTCCATGGGGGAATTAAGGAAGTAACAATGCAAACAGTTCCACGCGACAACAAAATGTGATTGAACCCCCTCGATTTTAGCAGAATATGTCGTGGCAAAATGCAAACAAGGGTTTAACATCTTCATCAAATACCAACTCTTTGAAAGCTCCAAGATTTTATGACTGCTACAAAGGCTCTGGTTTAAGACCATTCAATATCTATCAAGAACCAAAGAGTTTATTACAAAGTCAAGGAGCATTGCTGCTAAGCAATAGCTCATTCTAAAGAGCCTTGGAGACTTAAGTGTGTCAAATTGCTACAATATTGCATGTTCGCCCACAAGGCAGTCTACCAAGTGAAACTGGAGTCACAAGAATCATAGCAAGGAGAAATGTAGTGCAATTACTCTAAGGAGTGACACCTAACTTAACTAAGTATATAAGTTTGGGGGAAGGAAAATAGATGATTCTAGCCCCCAAGAATGTGCAAGAAGATCCTGAGGTGAAGATGAAACTTTGGAGAAGGATGAGAATGAGGGCTCTACAAGTGAATATGCTAATGGAAGACAAAATAATACTACAGTAAAAAGTAAGCCCCACCAATAGAAAAAGAAGTCACACCCCCACCACCCTTCACGCAAAGGTTAAAGAAGCAAAATCAAGACCTTAAATTCAAGAAGTTTGTTGATATCCATGACCAATTATACATCAATGTTTTATTCTTGGAAGCCATTGATAAGATTCCCACATGCTAAGTTTCTTAAGGATATTGTCACCAAGAAAAGGAAGGTGGATAATATGAAACAATTGCTATAGACACATAGTGTTTTTCTGTGTTGAGCAAGCTGCCAGCCAAAAGGAAAGATCTTGGCAACTTCATCATCCTTTGTTTTATAGGGGATAATTATGTAGGGATAGCTATATGTGATCTTGAATTGAGTTTGTATTTAATGCCCAAGTCAGTATTTTTGAAGCTTGGAATGTGAAATGAAAGACTGACCACTGTTATCTTACAATTAGCTGACCGATCCACGTCCGAATAGAAGGAAGAATTGAAGATGTCGTGGTGAAGGTGGAAAAATTTGTGTTCCTAGATGATTTTCTCATCCTTAATTTTGAAGTTGATGATGATGTGCCCATCATTTTGGGGCGACGATTTCTAGCCGTCAGTCGAATTCTAATCGATTGTGAAAAGGGTAAATTTACCATGTGTTTAACACACTCAAATATGTTGATGATTTTGAGGAGTATTAATGTGTTATAGACATAGATTTAATGGTGGAAGAGGAAGTTGCAGAGTTTTGCTGTAGCAAGTTCGTGTAGATCGAAGACTATGAGAAACTCAATGAAGACGGTAATGAGGAGCTCAAGGATCTGCCATCGAAGGTGCAAAAGTCTAGTTTAATAAAAGATAGACTAGGTACGCCATTCGAACCCTTAGATTTTACTGAATTTATTACTCCAAATCCTTCACTTGAGCATGCACCTACTTTAGAGTTAAAGCCTTTACCATCGCATCTTAAATATGTGTATTTGGGTAGTGATGAGACCTTTCATGTGATAATATTTTCCGGTCTTAACCCTGAGCAATAATGTAGCTCGATAAATGTGTTATTTTAATGTAAAAAATCTCTAGGTTAAACTATAGCTGACTTGAAGGGTATAAGCCCTACTATTACCATGCATAAAATTCTGTTTGATGATTGGCACAACAATTCTATTGAACCACAAATAATACTTAACCCCATCATAAAGAAGGTGGTGATGAAAGAGATTATTAAATGGCTCAATGCTAGAGTAATCTACCCAATATTCAACAATTTATGGGTCAGCCTAGTAGTTTATAGGCCAGCCCAGTGCAACGTGTGCCCAAGAAAGGAGACGTGACTATGGTAAGCAATGAAGATAATAAACTCCTACTGACAAGAACCATCACATGGTAGAGGATTTGCATGGACTATCGAAAGTTCACCGAGGCGACCAAGAAGGATAATTTCCCCCTTTATTAATCAGTCAAATGTTGGATCGATTAACGAGCAAGTCCTTTTATTGCTTCCTCGATGGATACTCAGGGTACAACTAGATTGCTATAGCACCAGAGGATTAAGAGAAGATAACCTTCATCTGTCCATATGTAATCTACATCTTTAGAAGGATGCCGCTTAAACTTTGCAATGCTCCAATAATTTTCCAAAGGTGTAGGTTGGTCATCTTCTCACACATGGTGGAAGACTTTTTGGATATCTTCATGGATGACTTTTCAATCTCGAGAGATGATTTTGAACAATGCCTTGGAAATTTAGCTAAGGTTCTCAAGAGATGTGAAAAAACTGCCTAGTGCTGAATTAGGAGAACTGTCACTTTATGGTGACCAAAGGCACTGTTTTAGGCTCCAAGATCTCACATAATGGGATATAGGTGGACAATGAAAAAGTTAAAGTGATTGAGAAGCTACATTCTCCCACCACTTTGAAGGGAATCTAAAGATTTTTTAGGGCATACGGGCTTCTATAGAAGATTTATAAACGACTTCTAAAAAATCTCCAAGCCTCAGTGTATTTTACTATAACAAAATCAACCCTTCATGTTTAACAAGTATTTCTACTACACATTCAAGAGCCAAAGGAGAGAGTTATCTCAGTATCCATAGTTGTTCACCAGAATGGACTACCCCATTTGAATTGATGCATGACAGGAGCGACTATGCTTTTGGAGCAGTGCTAGGGTAACGACGAGGCAAGATCTTTCATGTATGTATTATGCTAGTCGCACCTTAAATGAAGCACAAGTAAATTACACTACCATTGAGAAACAATTTCTTATTGTAGTGTTTGCTTTTGATAAGTTTAGGTCATACTTGATAGGCACTAAGATTATAGTTCATACCGATCATTCAACTATCAAGACTTAGTGAAAGATTCTAAACCTAGACTTATTAGGTGGATACTTGTCTTGCAAGAATTTGACTTAAAGGATAAAGATAGGAAAGGAACTGAAAACCAAGTTGTTGATCATCTCTCTAGGCCAGAAAACAAAGTTGTATGTGATGAAAACTTAGAAATCAATGAGGAATTCCTTGACAAAAAATCTTATTTACCGTGACAATTTTGTGGCATACTGATATAGTTAACTTTCTTATTCGTGATGTTTTACCTCTTTATTTGAATAGCCATGGAAAAAGGAAATTTAGGCATGATGTGTGATTCTACTACTAGGACGAGCCTTATTTGTTCAAGCAAATTGTTGATTAGATGAGTCATAGGTGCGTACCCAAAGAAGAGCAAAAGGAAATCATATTCCATTTCCATATAGCTCCTTATGGAGGCCATTTTTGGAGGGGTTAGAACCATTGTAAAGGTCTTACAATTTGGGTTCTACTGGCCCACACTCTTCAAGGATGCACACGAGTTCTACAAGGCTTGTGATAGATGCTAAAACACTAGATACATCTCTAGGTGACATGAATGTTATTGCAAAAATATCCTAGAGGTGGACCTTTTTGATGTATAGGGAATATATTTCATGGGACCCTTCTCATATTTATTTAGTGATCTTTACATCCTCTTAGTAGAGGAC